TTTTATTCATTTGCAGTGTTTGCAGTTTCTCCAGAAAATGTCATTGCTGTTGTTAAAAACACACTGTTCCTCTATACATTTGGCTATTATCGTGCAGACTATATATACATTTGGCTATTATCGTGCAGACTATATATACATTTGGCTATTATCGTGCACACTATATATACATATGGCTATTATCGTGCAGACTATATATACATTTGGCTATTATCGTGCAGACTATATATACATTTGGCTATTATCGTGCAGACTATATATACATTTGGCTATTATCGTGCAGACTATATATACATTTGGCTATTATCGTGCAGACTATATATACATTTGGCTATTATCGTGCAGACTATATATACATTTGGCTATTATCGTGCAGACTATATATACATTTGGCTATTATCGTGCAGACTATATATACATTTGGCTATTATCGTGCAGACTATATATACATTTGGCTATTATCGTGCAGACTATATATACATTTGGCTATTATCGTGCAGACTATATATACATTTGGCTATTATCGTGCAGACTATATATACATTTGGCTATTATCGTGCAGACTATATATACATTTGGCTATTATCGTGCAGACTATATATACATTTGGCTATTATCGTGCAGACTATATATACATTTGGCTATTATCGTGCAGACTATATATACATTTGGCTATTATCGTGCAGACTATATATACATTTGGCTATTATCGTGCAGACTATATATACATTTGGCTATTATCGTGCAGACTATATATACATTTGGCTATTATCGTGCAGACTATATAAACATTTAAGATAAACTCTCAACATTATGTCTGTATACCACACCTTAAGTTAAATGTTTGTATAGAAGTTTACATAATTGACGTTTACTGAATACGGCTGTTTTTTAAATAGCTATATTGATTATACACTAAAACCAACATCTCCTAAAACGTCTCTCTATTGCTCTCATCATAAAAATAAATTCTAACTTATTTAACCTTGCCTGGGGATGGTGAAACATAAATGTCGTAGCTTCAACAGATACATGTACTACACGCCAGGAAAACATCTATTATACGAGGTAAGAAATACTGGAACAAAGGGATACGTAAACGTAACACTAGCTATTAGGTACCGCCACAAAGACCCCATACTAATGTAGAAACGACACTGCAGCGTCATATATGTCATCCTATTCCATTTTATATCATCAAAACTATTGTTGCATACAGTATAAACGTCATCAAATTTAATACTATATGGTATTTTCCATGGCAATTATATTAGCGAAATATTTCTTTGAACACATTTTATATGTCAGTCAAGCTGTATGCATATTCGATGTACATTATGTTTGCTTTTCAACTGTTATTACAATAAAGCAATAGTAAATGCTAATATTAAACTTTAATTGTTAACGACATATATGTTGAAGATATATTTCTAACTTACTTTGTAATTACAGATAATAGTTACCTTTAATGTGTTGTAATTGTTTATCATGTTTTCCGTATGCTGTTTTGTATAGTACGTGGTTTTCCTGTTCGCTCTGGTATATTTGGTATTACACAAATGCAATTAAATGTAATTTGTTCCATGCTGATTTTTTAAGGGTATCTGTCCCACTGGCATCCCTCTGGTGTTTATCGGTAACTCGAACTCCTTTCATTTCTTTCATGACATAACTGTTGCCCGTTGCCCGATTGGGCAATGGTACAGATTTCTGCAATCACAAAGTAGCTAATATGGGACCAGGGCGTTGAATCTAAGTCTGTTCTGTTTCATTTTTGAAGCATAGTTATCTATTGTGTTTAATTTATCATTGTTTTTGGGTTCATAACAATTCCGTAAGGTGTAGTTTAAAAAAAACACTTTTAAAAACTTGTTATCAAAGCTATAGCCACGCCAGAAAAAAACTTTTTTGGCATAATTTCTATTTTTGCAATGATAGAGAGTTACTAAAGCTTCACTTAGTAACCTTCGGTAATACTACTCAATACCCGCGTTACTAAATGTCCGTACGGTCGATTGTAAGGCAGTGGTACCATACCGTTTACAATACAAACCGAAGCAGATCCCCAGCAGTAGTGTGCGAGTGAGTCAGCAGAATTTGGACTTATACGGCAGTAGCTATTATTAGTGCGGTTTACGCTGTCATTTACCATCGATGTGTATCGGTCTGCTTGACGTTTTGCTCAGAAGTGTTGGACTCCAAAGTGTACCCTACCATCAATCAGTCTACCAAAACTAGAACTGGAAAAGTAAGCCATGATTGTGTGACCAAAACAACAATTGAGTATGTATAATAAGAATGTATGGGATATACTTTTAATATAGAAAATCGATCATAACAGGGATATCAGCATAAAACTCGTGGACAAGAAACCCATCTCAACACCTTTATGTCTCCAACTGGCACTACTTTACCACTAAAATATTTACCACCTAGCCCACCTTAGGTTTTGTTTCGAGGTGATGATTCATCATGATTTATCTCACCTTTCATAGGTACGGCTCCCGTTTTAGTTGGAGAAGATCGGCTCTCCACCCCTAGGGGGAAATAGCTCGTAAAAATTAACACGCGCAAAATTTTGACGTCACAGAAAATTTATTCATTTTGAGTTTCAAACATGCCAGACTCCTGTTGATTGACTTTTGACTGAAATGAGAATTGATTTAGAACCATTTTCTAACTTTTCATAATGTACTGATCTGTTTTGCTTAGTCTTACATCCAACATCTATCAACATGTTGTGCTATAAAAGTGCATCCTCCTCGTTCCTAGATTAATACTGAGTCGTATTTTAACATCGTATTGAGACAATTGATAACACTTTGATTAATCTCGAAATCCTTTCCAAAGCAATGTTTCTTCTATCAGAACATCTGATTTTTCTATCCTGTATATTACAGCTAAACTAAATGAACAGCTTCGGTAACTTGTTATGCGAACTTTCTTTTCCAAAAAAAAGCGAACATCTTTAAAGGTATCATCTTCGCTAGCCAAGTGTTCGCTTCGTATACACTCCACTTACCCTTGGCGGATATAGCCGTGTTTACCGAGCCTTCAAATTTTCGTGCGGTGCCAATCGCTCGCATCCAAGAATCCAACGAAATCGCGTCTTACATATAGCACTGTTGACGAAGAAAAACAGTAATGGCGATGTCCTATACGGAAGCACGTTATCCCC